GATTTCAGCTGTGCCAGACACGCTTGTAATGTTTCATTTAGGATAATTGGCACAAAACGTCCCTACCTTTGCCTATCTTTGTGGAAAACATCCATACCTTTCATTTCTTGGTGCAAAACGTCCTGACCTTTTACTTTTTTTGCGCTGAACGTCATTTTCACCAAATTTTATCGTAAAATGACCAATGCCCTCATATTTAAATAAAATAAAAATAAGGAACAAATTACATTAATACTCCCAAACTTTTTAAAAGGTACAAATAAGTCCAAAAGTCTTATTAAAACTTTAAAAATGAAAACATAAATAAAATCTCCCCTTTCCCCAACCCCACAGTCCACTCGCCTCCTCCTCCTCGCTCAACCACCACAGTAACCCCACCCAAATTGCTGGGTTTCATTATTTGGAGTTTTTAATTTCTAGGGATGTGGACAAAGTATTACATTAGGCTTTTATCATTTTGGTTTTGGGTACACGAAGATCAGTCTCTTAGCTAAATTGCAGAGGGAAGTAAGTAAATGAAAAATTGAGTTGTGAAGTTTTAACTTCTGAATTCTCTCTCGTTTTGTGTAATTTTTGGTGTCATTCATTTGTCGATACATATTATCGAGCTCATAAGTCTTTATAATTCTCATATGATTTTTTAAGGGTAAAGTTCCAGCCTTTCTGCTGAATAATTTGTGGAGAGGAAAGAATAAGAAATTGTGACGACAACTTTTATTGGCTTCCTTTTCATTGCATCATCTACTAGTTTCTTTATTTGAAGTAGTGGGGAGGAAGGAAAATTTAATAAATTGATATTTTTGTTTTTAGTTTGATGTCGACATTGTATGAGTTCCTTTTTTTTTTTTTTTCAACCAAACATTTATTAATAAAAAACCCTTACTTAAGGTGGAGGAAAACCATAGTTACAGCCCATCGACCAATAAACATGACAAATAAAACTAAACTTATATCAATATAACCAACCATCGAAACGGAAGTCTATCTTCTCCGACGAATGTACATCACACCCATCCTATCTAAGCGAATCAAACCTCGACAAAACCTTGGTATTTCCCTACATGATAAGAATCGTTATGTCTTGCCCTTCGCCCCTAACTTCGCCAACTCATCCGCAACCTTATTAGCTTCTCTATACTGATGCATGACTTGGAAGTCAAACTTCTTTAGAAGTTCAATTAGAACTTCCCAAAAATGTCACAAATACCATAGTGTACATTTCCTTGCCAAAACCCAAGACACCACCAACAACGAATCACATTCGACCAACCCATGGTGAATTCGACCAACCCAGCAATTTGGATGGGGTTGCAGTGGTGGTTGAGCGAGGAGGAGGAGGAGGAGGAGGCGAGTGTATTGTGGGGTTGGGGAAAGGAGACTTTTGGACTGTTTTGTACCTTTTAAAAAGTTTGGGAGTATGATTGTACTTTGTTCTTTATTTTTATTTTTATTTTATTTAAATATGAGAGCATATTGGTCATTTTACGATAAAATTTGGTGAAAAGGACGTTCAGTGCAAAAAAAGTGAAAAGTATGGACGTTTTGCACCAAGAAATGAAAGGTAGGGATATTTTCCATAAAGATAGGCAAAGATAGGGACGTTTTGCGCCAATTAGCCTTTCATTTAAGGGGGGATTGTTTTAAATGACAAATTTATTAATGAATGACAATTGTACCCCTACAATCCTAAAAATTATTATCATTGTATTTCTAATCATTTCTTATAAATATGAGGTTTTAGTTTTTAATAAAACACACGTCTATTGACTTCTCTATTTTGTGATCTCTTTTTCTCTCTAATGTATAACAAATAAATGTTTATGTTAAAGTGAACAATTAATTTTAAGAGAAGAATATATAAATACAATAGTTTTAAGATACACTTTCAAAAATAAGAAACCTTTGAAAAAGTTCCAAAAATTAAATTTGACCACCAGCTAACAAGTCAAGGTCACAAATTTCACACGCTCATGGTCACAAATCACATAATGTCATAATTCTAAAAACACAAATTGTGAGTTGCGAGTACAAATTTAGTCATAATCATACATTTCCTAGGTCACAGATTACCCATTTTGTCAATTACATATTACTTATTAATCACAAATTGTTCATTTGATTGATCACAATCACCCAAATAATTGATTAGCAATGCTATTTATCCCACTCAACCACCACTACACCCTCACAGTTGCCGCCAACAACAACTACGACCATTATTTGCAAACTAACCATCGATATGAAATTGCAAGCAATGGCATACAATTTTAAAAATTACACTAGAGGCTTGATCTATAAATCCTTGTCCAAACCCTAATTTCCCTCACACCCTTTTCTCTACTCGTCGACATCGCATCGCATTTGGCCATGGCAATGAGCCTGAGATGGCCCACCATCAGGCACAAAACTAGCAGCATTGATACTAGCTGCTGCAAACGCCAGCACCGAGACATTGTTTATGTGGTGCGCGATGGGTAGGTGTCGATGACAACGTGGTGGCGACAACAAGTGGAGGTGACGAGCTAAAATTATTATGGTGTAGGTGTAATTGTGGTTTAGAGAATGGATAAAAGAACAAATTAGGTTTGTGGTTGGTTGGTGGGGATGGGGTGCGGGTGGGATACACCTAATTTTTTTTTAAAAAAAATCTTATACCTAACTTTTAAATTGATAAGTTAAAAAGTAGATATGAATGTAATTTTTACTAATTTTAGTCACACAATTTATGGAGCACGCGACTTTTATCAAATTTTTAACAACAATTCATCATTTTTTTTTATTTCTTTTGTCAAAATCTACTTTAACAAAACCAACAAGGGTTAAGTATTTTTATGCGCTCCTAACATATTTATCAATGTTATTGAAATCGAATCAATCGATTCAATTAAAAAAAATAAAAAAAAATTTAGTCTTCAGACTGATTCGATTATGACTAAAAACCACTTGAATTAAAAATAAAAAAGGAGGATAATTATAAGGTTAAACCGTATAACCAGTTGAACCGGCACCAACTTCACCGATCGGCATATTTTTTATTAAATGTATCAAAACTTCATAGGCCTAAAAGGTTGATATTTAACTATGGAAAAAAAAAATCATAAGTCGAGTATTTAGTATGCGCCAAATCAATTTCCAGCCATTAAGTTTAAAAATGCAAAAATAAGGTATTAATTCAATACTTTCATTTTGAATAATAATATTATCAAATTTAATTAATCTATCCACATCCATTCCACCAAACAACCGTCCACACCCCATACCCACCATCGCTCACCCACTTGTCGTTATCCTCTCCTACAGTCGTCGGCATCCACCCGTCGACATACACCCCATCGACACTTTTTCAATGGTGAATTGATCGTTGTTCAGAGGTGAATGAGCATCATCGAATCAGATAGTAGAGAGGGTGGGAGAAACATAGCGGGTTTTGAAGATCTTCGACATATACACAAGCTATGAACAAATATCTGTTACATGTGACTTGTGACATATACACTTTGACATATGACTTGTTACGCGTAACACGTGCACTTTGATCTATGACCTATGCACTTTAATTTGTGTCAAGATAATTTTGATCTGTAACCTACACAAAAAACATGCGATCTGTGAAGTGTGATTTGTAACATGTACTATTTGATCTATGACCTATGCACAATGACTTGAGACTTGTGGTCACAATCACATAAATAATTAGTCACAAACCTCTTTATACAACCTCAACTCCAACCCAAAACCAGCACCACAACCATCACCACCATCACCATCACCGCTGGCACTACCACAGCACATCGAATAAGAAAATCACCCGCAACAAGACCACTAACAAATCACCCACATCTTCATCCACCGACACAACGATAACCTTGGTTATCTGAGTAGACCAAACTCCACCCCCTTCAACTCTCTTTTCACCTTGGCTAAGTCCACCAACCTTTCGATCTCTTCTACTTTCTTCCCATCCATTGGACAACCAACATCACCATAGTCATCATACCACTGATGCTTCACGCAGACTATGCCCACTACGCGACGAACTTTCGTACCCAAATGAGAAAAAATAGAGGTCACATACTCACATGGATTTCATATTCTACTGGGCTT